CTTTTTCCAATTAAATATTAGTCGATCTGGCTCCGGTCAAGTTTAATGTTCTCTATTTTCTCTCAAATAGCGTACTAGATATTTGGCATCTCATTAAAAAAAGAAAAAAAATCCAACGATTTATAAAAACACGAATCATTGAGTTGTTTTAAAATTGAAAATCATATTTTTGTTGACGTGAAACCGATATCAACTTCTTTTTGCTCCCGCTCCTTTGATCAACTATTCTCGTGATATCCTTTTGATTACCAAAACAATCTTCTTGTGAACTTTGAGCTAAAGAGTGCACAGTAGAATCATAGTTCGTTTTGTTTTATAGGAATTAATAGAAAACCCTAGACCGTATGCACCAAATTGGTGAAAGATGAACGCAGCACCATCTCCTCCAGTCCAAAATAGAGGTTGTGATACTTTTGAGAATTAATAACAGGATCTGCGTTCTACACCTCGTTATTGAAACTAGAAGGCATTACTGAATTTTTCACTCAAGTCGTCTTCAAGTGCTATTTGATGCAACGTAATTATCATATCAATATTGATGGTTAGATGGTTTCTAATTTAAACCGATCAAATAATTTATATAATCTACCGTACATTAAATCAATAGTGAGTGCTTGTAAAACAAGTCATTCTCTAGTATTTGAAGGATCCTTCGATTGTTTGGTTAGCTTACGAAAGAAGTATATTGCATGAGTAAGTTTTATAGAATTTAGCTCTTCTATGATTCTATCAAGAAGATATTTAATATCATTTATGTTTTAATCCCAAAAGGTAGAACCGTAACATTTATTATGTTAACTTTTATATAAGTACGGTGCGATCAATTTGCATAGAATAGAATGAATGATAGATTGGTCTCTTTTATTATATTCAATAGCTTTTAACATTCACTTAAAAGTTTAAGATTCTTTAAGTCAAACATGTTGTCTAATCATGCATATGCAGTCTTGTTTGGTAATAATGTGATAAGAACATTCTAGAAAACCATGTCTTCATTCATTATATATTAGTTTTCTTTAATAAGTGAAATGAGAGGGTACCTTCTTTGCTTAGGTCATTCGTCTATGTTGGTCTTTTGCACTTTATTCGATTGTGATCCCCCGATGACAAGTCGAGGTTGTCCCGTTTATGGTAAAACCTAGTTCCGGTAGTCTTTAAGTGGAGTAAAAAGACATGTATCATGATTGAAATCATATGAGTATATTAGTAGGCCTCCTAAGTCTTTGATGAGTGTACTTAACGAAGGCTCAAATCGCATTCGAGCTCTTTAAAGAGATAACTGGTGATTGCTTAAGAGAACTAGTAATTTCTTAATTGTCTTTTTAAGATTGATGTTAGTGGGGGTATAGGAGACTCATTTAATGTATGTAAACTAGTTAAACATGCAAAGACGTGGAGAAACCAAACACTCAATCGTAAGAGCATATGAGGAAATCAAAAAGGTTAGGCCATTTAGAGTCTCCTTCACCTATCAAATGGCTTCCAATTTAGTTACTTTATAGAATCGATGGCAAAGACGTGGAGAAACCAAACACTTAATCGTGAGAGCATCCGAGGAAATAAAAAGGTCGGGCCCTTTAGAATCTCCTTCACCTATCAAACAAGCTTCCACTTTAGTTGTTTTATGGAACCAAGTGGCAATATGAGATTGTTCCATGCCATATTAGACTCGTTTATAGAACTTGAACTTTTGACTATTAAATGCAAAGTTTTATGCTCTTTTACCTATAAGTTGTAGTGAAGTCCTTGTCTTCTCACTTTCAATTCATTTTTTTTTAATATTGTGAGCGGTTAGAAAGATAATGAGGATTACCAATGAGTTGGTGATCACTTGAAGTTCTTCATAAAGATATTTTTGACAAGTTGTTCCTCTTAATTATGAGAAATCTTGGCAAGCTTGATAGTTTTTAAGACAATCATGCTTGTTGTAGAGTGATTTTTTTTTTTTTTTGTGAATTCATTGAAGCTTTAATTGGTACATCTTTTTTTTTCTTATTCATTTTTGTATCCGATTGAAATGATAGATTTGGACGGAATGAGAGGTGCGTTTGAGGCTATTTCTAGTACCGAATGAGCAAACTCTAATGTAAATGTTGTTTTTCTCTTTAATAGTGCATAAGGATTGCATCTACCTTACGAATGGAGGTACTAGTAGGGTCTTTAGGAGAAGGCTAACTTTATTTTCTTTTATTTGGAATGGAATTATCTTGCAATTATTAACTAAATAAATTAAAACAAAACAATAGGTTACCTGTTCCAAATACTTGTTCATACACTAACATTTCACTATTCATTGGTTTTTTTACACTTTAGCTCATGATCTTTGCCGATGCATCTTTCGGTCCACATCTTCATTTTCTCATTCATTTTGGTCCCTAGATGAGAAAGAAGGAAGGAAGGAAGAGAGAGAGAGGGAGGAAAGAGAGAGAGATCGTCGGCCAAGTTTATTTAGGCCACTTTAGCCGATGAAAATTCATTAGATTTTTTTATCTTTGAGAGATGAGTTTGTTCATGGTTGTTTCAAGCCATGAAACATTTAGAGGAGTTAGATTGGAGCCAAAAAAGAAAACAATGTTCCGATTTGATTGTCTAATTTTTTTTTTGTGCATTAAAGTGATTTTCAAGGTTTTAGATATGTTTATTGGCTTTATTCTGGTCATTTAGAGGTGTTTGGGGAAACAATGATGTCGAAATTCAATTTCTAGGGGTTTGAAACTTGATCCACGACTTTCCAGCGAAGATTCCGATGACCTCGATTTTTTTTTTAAAGCAAGCAATCTGAGCCCGACCCGCAGGCTTGAGGCCGCTCGACCAGTGCTCGACGCGCCGGCCTAGTCGTATTTCTTTTCTTTTTTCCCCTTCCATTTCGACTTAGGAAACAACTTTTTATTTTGGTCCCTTCTTTCTTTTTTTTTATTTTGGTCATTAAACTTTTTTTATCTTTGATTTTTATCTCTATCGTAAATATTAAAATTTTATTATATGTGATTTTTATCTTTATAATCAAATTTTTTTTAACTTTTAGAAAAAATTTATGTTCTTTTTTTTTTAATATGTTTTTATTTTAGTTATTAAAATTTTCTCATATTTAAGTTTTATCCTTACTATACTATAACTAAATAAAGTTTACCATCCTAAGGTTTTTTTTTTACCGAATTTTCTTTTTATTCTAATTTATGTTTTGTTATTTTTTCTTTTTTTTGTCATTAAATTTAGTAGAATTTTTTTTATAATCTTTTTTGGTAATTTTTTTTTATTTTGATCATTAAATTTTTTTCCTGCAAGGAACTATTTTTTACTTTTAGTAAAACTTTTTACTATATTTTGGTTTTTGTTTTATGATCTTTCATTTATTTTGATCATTAAAATTTTATTATATTTAATTATTATTTATTTTACATTAAAATTAAATACATTTTAACTATGCTAAGTTTTTTTTTTTTTAGTGAAAAAAATTTCTGTTTTGATTCTTATTTTATTAATTTTTTTATTTGAATCATTAAAATTCTATGATGTTTACTTTTGTTCTTTCCTTATGCATAATGAAATTTTTTTTAGTATTATTATTTATAAGTATTTTTTGTATGCTTTTAGTGAGAGTTTCATTTATTTATTTTTATCCTTTTTTTTTTAATATTTACTTTGTTTTAATCATTTAATTTTTATCTTGTGTAATTTTATTTCTATTTTCTTTGCCAAATTCTCGATTTGTTAGCCTTTTTTGTCCTTTTGTTTTGAGTGGTCTTTCTATCTCATTAACAAATTACAAATGAATAATATATGATAAAAATTAACCATTAAAAATTGAAAAAACTAACACATTATTAATTTAATTATTAGCTATTAATAAAATACATGTTTATATCAAACAATATCGAATTAGCAACATTATATTACTCAACTTTACGGACTTTTCATTTAGCTAACCCCGTAGCAAATTATGAAATGTATGTTTTAGTTTTTTTTTTTTTAATTTTTTTTTGCATGATATTATCAAATAGTAATTTATAAATGTTAAATTTTATATTAAGGAATTCATAAAAATGTTATATAACTCATCTCGTGGCAATGCGCGAGATATATGCTAGTTCTTAACCTAAATAATATTATACAGAGGACAACCTCCGAAAGCATGGACAAGACCTTTGAAATAACTATTAGTATTTGCATAATCGAGTACAATTAGAAATTCTTTTTTTATGGGTTTGTGACCAAAGTTTTTCAACATTTTGGCATAAGTGTTTGCAAGCTTTCCTTAAATAGATAAGCCATTCTTGCTGATTTTGACAATTTCTATCAACGATCTAGGGTCATCTCATATGGGGCTCTTTTTGTTTTTCTTCTTCTTAGTAAAGGGTACTAGAGAGAGAGGTGGGAGGTTTTATATATATATCTTCTTAGTCAGAAAGATCATTTTATTGAATAAGATATTTGTAGAGACTACAAACCTGCTTGGCTACTGAAGAAAATAGTGATTTATAGTTAGGCATATGAGGCATGCATCTACAAATAAAGATTCGTTAATTTGGAAATGTACCCCTCTTTGGAAGAGGTCTAGAGGCAAAAATAATGACATCAATATCCAATCAAGTGTTAATTTAGCTTTTTGAGGCAGGGTGAAAAATAAAAAACGCAACCCCAAACCCAAAGGTCAAGTGATTTCTAACCAATTTCTGTGTTTTCTATCATCCAATTAAAAAAAAAAAAAAAAAAACACAACTCAATAGTGCCCATTTCCATAAAAACAAACTCTAAATAATTCCCCATCAACTTCAAAATTATGATCACCTAACCACTCAAACATACAAAGACTTGCAATACCCTTGAAATACAACAACAAAGCTTCTCTTCTTTAGTTCAATTAGTGAACACTTAAATTACATTCATTTTCCTCATCGTATTCTACTCAGTTTGGTACAAAGAACATAATCAGTCCAAAAGGGTCGGTGAAAGGATCTTCTTCCCTATTATCCATGGCCGGGACCTCAGTTCTACTGTGCTTAGGCAGTTCCAGCCTCAGTTCCTAGCGCTTCTGCACCAAGAGATGTGGCAATGGCCATGACCTCCCCAGGAGGCGGGTGGTCAAATCTGCATGTTGCACCATACTTGCATGTGCCAGTCTTCATATAGTATGGACAGTTAACCGCACCCTGTCAAAGGTTTCACCAAGATAAATACCACAGCACATTTACATCACAAGAAACACCTTGGATAGTAGAGTGGGCTGAATAATTAACTAAAAGGAGGCAAAGTCAAATTGGGCCCGTTTCAATTTTTTTTTTTACCAGAGAAATATATTAAATAGTGTTCGATGTGGTTAAAAGAGAACTTTGAAGTGGCAAGGAAGCACTTGCATCCATGCACAGAACTGCTAACTGCTGATGGATCAAATAAGCAATGAAGCAATCTAAACGCTCAACTCCAATGCTAAGATATTGAATTAACCCAAAGATGAAACAATTACTCAAAAGTTTTCGGAATGAAGTGAAATTGGTAACAGGCTAACAACCAATGCTGTGAGTGGCCAGAGCAATGTGGAAAACAGAACCCCATTTCTTAAAATCAATTTATGCAACTTGATCTCACAAGTCATAATACACACCCAAGGTTACACAAAGCCATCATCCACCCACCAAGAAAAAGAACAGCAAACCAGAAGCACCCAATGGCACATAATATCTTCAACAACGTGGAGATGAAATGTACTTCACATGTTAGTCTATCATAACCAGCACCTTAAAATGAACAAGAAAATGTTTAAATTTAAAGGATAAGCATCGTAATACAAGGAAAGGAGGACAACCCACTGTTTCTCACACAAATACTCCTCCTTTTTGTGCAAACAACGTAAATATGCCATGCTTAATTTATAGCACCAACTCATACCTCTCTCCTAGGCAATCCTGCAAGAGTGAGCTTAACACTCTGTTGTTGAGTTTGCTTTTCTGTTGGTACAGAGCGATCAATAGGGTGATGAAACTTGCATCTCTCCCCGAACTTACACTCACCAGTCTTCATGTAGAACTGAAAATGGAAAACATGACACATATTCAATGTACCTGCATAACAAGGATTCCTTGAACCAAGAAACAAGCTCCCCGAACAAAAATTGAAGGAACATATTGTGAAGAAAATGTAAAAATAGTTGTTTCATGTAATGTTGATCATAAAGATTTCCTAAAAGAGCCATTTAATAAATCACAACTCTACAAAAGAAGAAAAGAACAACATATATTTGAGAATAATGGGCAAGCTAAGATGCAAGCTAAGATAGATGCTCACATCACATTCTGTCTGTCCAGGTCGTTGAGGGTAGAAGGTTGGTCCCGCTCCCAGCTACAATAGGCAAACAAATAACAGGCATCAGTGCTAAACCAAAATGACCATAATTTCTGTAACCATAAGAATGCCAAGAGATTTCTCAGGAGAAACAGTGGTAGCAGCATTAGTAAAAGTCACCTCCACAAACCAAGGAAAAGCTATTATGTATTGTGTCCGTAAGGTAGATAAATAAACTTCTAAATGAGCAATGAAAACAAAGGTTAAGAATCTGACCATAATTGAATACACCAACTGCAAGAATATAGTCAGGCGAAAAGAACAACTTTATTTTTGAGAATAAAAAACAACTACAATTAAAAAATAAATCATAAGCACAAACAGAAAGCTTCTTTGATGAATTCAACCTAAAACAACTATCTTTAACGTTCAAACACCTTTGTACCCACATCAGGCTTCAGTTCTCACTAAACCACCAAGAGACATGATAGAGAGCACTCTTTAAAATGCAGCCATAATTAATAAACTCAACTCAAATCATATTTCCAGCCTTTGGCCGTTAGCTACCCATACAGATTCTCAGAGAGTCACACCCAACTGGTCTTATGTTGATCTTTTAATGAAACAGAAGCAACTGAGAATTGAATATGCAAATGATTTTTTATTTACCGTCGACATTCTGGGGTCAATAGTTTGATATATGGAGGCAGCTGGATTGAAAACTCCAAAGTTCAGATTTGCCACAGAAGGAGCTACAATTGGATGGCCTATCGCAGCAGCAGGTGGATTGATCGCTGCAAAAGAATAGCAGAAATTAGATTATGAAGCTCAAGTGCTGAAGACAACGTATCAAATACTGAGATTAGGCATCTCAATTTTAAATTAAAAACACAGGTGCGTTTGCATACCTGTCCTCTCAGGATGATTATAGCGGCAAGTGGCACCATACTTACAACTGATGAAAAAGAAAAATTAAGTGAAATGTTTGACCATTTCCTACCAAACTGTTACAGCAGTTATGTATTAAAAGGCACATGCTTACCTGCCAGTTTTGAGGTAGAAGGGACAATCCACTTCACCCTGCCAAAACAACACAATGCTGATTAATGGTCGAAACAAAAGGGACCACTAAATACCTCACCAATCACATCATCTATCCCTTCACAGAGAACTAAAACAGCATTACCGGTCTTACTGGAAGTCCTTTGGAGTTGTATAGGAGGGCTGGGCTAACTGACACGGGAGCCTTTATCATATTGAAATCTCCAGTTATTCCCTCATTCTTAAACACAGAGTCAGTTTGCGGTCCATTATCATTCCCTAGTCCTGCCAAGGGTATCTGGATATCTTTTGGGTGATGGAATTTGCAGCTTGTGCCAAATTTGCATTTCCCAGTCTTCATATAAAACTGTTCAAGGACCATAATATTCAGGATGGCAAATGAACAAATTAATAAGACAGTTTTAGACGGTAATGCTTCCAGATGAAAAAAAAGGCGAATGGTTTCTTACTGCACATGGAGGCTCAGAAGGCCTCTCAGGCAAAGCAGAAACTTCGGCGTTTTCTGAAGCGCCCTGAAACCAGAGTAAGGCATCTAATTATAAACACAGAGTAAACTGAATATAGGTTTTGAAGAATTTTATGACTGTAGTACATACCAAAGACAAGTTTTCTTTTGGATGATTAAACTTGCAGTTCAAACCATACTTGCACCTTTGAGTTTTTAGAAAGTACTGCAATGGTAATTAACCACAAGATTAGAAAACATTTCAAGTGCTAAAATTAATTTAGTGAAAATTGCAGAAGAGCAACTGTCAGCGATAAAACTTACTGGACAATCAGGCTCTCCTGGCCTCTCAGGAAAAGTTTCACTTGTCAAAATAAGGGGAACCTAAGGGGAAAAAAAAAGGAACACAATGATACCATCCGTACCTTAACTGTAACAATCACTTTCGAGTTAATAAAAAGGAAAATAAATAAATAAGCATCATAATGGTAGAACACGAGGAAAAAAATACTTGCTTGAACAAGTGCAATAGATGCAGATGCCATGTACCAAATATACTGCCTCTTTCTACATACATTCATGAAAATAACAGTGTCAATCTCCATTAACTAGACTTTATATTTCTAATTGGCGTTCTTTCCTTGCTGCCTACCTCAACAATGCAAACTATATTTGACATAGTACACATGAGCACCATCTGTTATATAAATCTACATTGATCTCCTAACAGACAAGGTTTAGAATTTACCAATCAAGTAGCAAAAAGCTTTCGATAGATGTCAGTTGTAAGTTAGCTGAAATCAATACTCAAAACCAAGATTTGTGAACACAAATCTAGGTATCATGTTGAACACGGACAGAGGTTTTTTTACCGTGCAAAACGCACAAATGTAGAGATTAAGATAGGGATATATAAGCATGCTAGAGTGAAACATATACTATAACCATTCTATGAAACTAGACTGTTTAGTTGCTAGCTTGTAAATGAACTACAGAAACAGAAACTATTATTTAGTAACTACTAAGCTTCTAAGATGAACTTCATGGTCTTGACGTCTCTTATACAAATATCCAATTCAGGCAGATAACAGCAGCTCGACAAATCAATATTCCAATAAGCACTCAGTGGCTCAGGAATACCCTTGATACAAAACAGAAAACATTGTGATTCAGGAAAAGGCTGTGTAATAAATGAGAAAAAGTACTATGAACCCTTTCTGGACAATAGAAGAATTTATTAATAGAGTAGGAAGTCTATAAACAGTATACCAAATTACAAACATTCAATATGGAATATTCACAGGGAAAATATTGTAAATAGAGGTAGTCATAAAGAAAATACAATTGACTTCCCAAAGACTGAAAATGGATCCACTCATAGGTACAAAAAGAATAGTACATGTTAAAGGGATAATATCATATCATGTTCATTCATAACAAGTAAGGAGCATATGTATCAATTATATCCAACATAAGCACATGACATGCATAAAACTATTATAAAGATTAGAATTTTTCCAAAACATAGAGCTAGGATAGTTTTATAAAGAACATGGAATGTGTCCACATGTTTAAAAACAAGTAATTTGGAACAATCTCCATGTAAGTTTAAACTGTGATCAAACCTTTATGCTCATACCCATCAAATTATAGTATTTAGGATACCACTGTATTGAATAATGATATTTATATAAATGAACCTTATAAGATAATCATATCATATACATTAAGATAGCAATAAATGGTCACCTCTTTCCAATCTGGGATTCCACCCTCTGGAACCCAAACAGGATGGTCAAACTTGCAGGTATCTCCAAATTTACAGGTTCGAGTGAGCATATAGTGGGCACAATCCTTCTCCCCGGGCCTCTGTGGATATATAGGAAAATGGCTTGTAGTCTCGAATCTAGCACGCTTAGCTAAAGCATTGGTAGAATACCAATCTTCACTTTGCCCAATTGTGCTATGGGAACCCAAAAGAGTCGGATGATAGAGCACTATAATAGTAGTACAAGTATACACAAAAGAGGAAGAAAGATATAGTTACGATATAAGTATGCTTAAAACTTTAGTTTTGGGATAAAAAATAATACAGAGAATAGATAGTATAGCACCTTCATAACAAAAAAAAAATGCAGATAAAATACTGTAAAGCTTCTATCTTGCAGTATTTTTGTACACATCTAAGATTTGCAGGTCAAATCAATTATAAGGTGATAAAATAACTTGCATTGTAGCAACAGTTTGATATATACGGGTAAAGCTATTGAGATGACTGCACATGTATTAGATAATGTGAAGCATCTGCCAATATTTATAAACAGCAGATAGATTTAATTAATCTCTCCTCTCATTTCTAACATGATTATAACTAAACCTCATATATTATGTAAAGTAGAAAAAGGCACATTTCAAGCCAAATCACGCATTGACAGTATATGCGTGCATGGCCCCTAGAAGGTTTGGTCATATGAGGCTAAGCACAGAATTGTATAGTACAAGCCTGGCTTTTGAAAAGCAGCAAAGCAAATAGAATTCACGCCAAAAAACATCTCAGGATGATAATATAATCATATATTGACTGAAGTTTCAAGCAAGTTCCCGAATAATGTTTTTTGTAATTAAATTCCTGGCATTAAAGTAATTGCTTAAATTCCTTTTTATAATAGTTGGAGTATTATAATTTAACTAGATCACCATGAATGCACACCTAAAGATTTTCACAATTATCACCCAACGTAGATGTATTAAGCAAACGCCGAGCTTTTTTTCCACTTGTTTTCATTTACAATGACAAAATGCAACAAAAGTTATTTTTTAAATAACACAAACCACACGGATGCCTACACAAAGCAAATAAAATCTCAGCATAACATTGCTGCAAATTTTTCCTCGGGCTAAACGATTGAATATCGGAGAAGCTCACGTCATTAGCACTGCAGAGGCAAACAATTCAATAGCACATGCAAGCAATAAAATCTTCATAAAGTAACAAAATCCATACAGCAGCAAAAGGGGAAACAAGGAACTTTGAGTTTAAATTATATTCTTATTGGAAATGAGAGGTACCAGAAAGAAAATCCGATAATGCTAAGACAACTAAACACAAACACAAAAAGAAGAATAAATAAAAAATGAAAAAGAAAGGGAGAAGAAGAAACCCTAACCCTAAAACTAACCTTCAGGAGTGCGTTTAAGGCCAGAAACAAGCGAATCAACGGAGGAAGGAGCATCAACACCAGGCGGCGGTGGCCAAGATGAAAAATGCGGCGAAGTTGCAGCAGCAACCGCCGAGGAAATGCCTCTGTCGACCGAGTATCTGAGTGCGGTTTCGCTCTGTGTTAGATACATGGAGGAACTCGCCGAGTACTTCGAAGAATCCGAAGATATAGGGTCCGAGCCGGTGCCTAAGTATCGGGCTAAAACTGAATCTGTTAGAGAACGGGAAGCCGACGTCGTTGTCGCGGTGGCACCGTAGCCGTAGAGTTGCTTGGCCATTATCGAAATCGCGCTGCTACGCACAATTTTCTTTTTTCATTTGTTTGTTTACTGGATGGTTTTAATTTTTTATTTGCTTATAATTTGTTACAACTGCGCCAGTGATTGTGTTAGTGAGATCTTCGCTTTGTAGTGGAAATTATAAGTTCTGAGCGGTCATTGGGTTGCCACGTTTCTTTCCTGTTGCTAAAATACCGTTGTTTCGTATAAGGGCTTTTGGTTTGCGGAAAGCAATTTCCATAGAAAGCGAATTATAGGAAATTGAATTGCTAGTTTTTAACAATAAATCTTCTAACGTGCTTCTCACCTCCGGTATTATATATATGTGTGTGTGTATGTTTTTCATTGATATTTAATAAATTATTTACCGAACCAATGAGTTTGTACCAATATATGTTGTGGTTGTTGTTTTAAAATAGTTAATATTCGATGAGCACAAATATAATTTACATAATATACGTTTAAATCAATAATAACTAAATGTTTATTATTATATATAAAAAAAGCCCTCTCTTCACATATGTGTACATATACATTGAAAAAATAATAAGGCCAATAAAACTCAAAAGTGCTTGATTTTAGTCTTTCATTGTTAAAAAATATATTGAGATTTTTTAAATAATTTTTTTTTGTATATAATTTAAATAATTAAAAAAAATATTGTGATTTTTTAAAAGGGAGATAAAGAATATTTATCAAGAGAAAAAAAATAATAATTAAATTGAAAAAAAAAAAACTAATGGGTGAGGCATGTTCGACCTAGGCCACGTGTGCCTTATCCGACCTCAATAGGATATATATAAAAGGGTTTTGTGCATATCAAGATCCGATATAATTAGGATTTTTTTATTGAGATTCTAAGTTTTTTTTCTATCTAATTTAAGAGTTCTATTCTTATGTTATTATTGTTTTATATCTTAATATACTACGTAAGCACACATGGCAAGCTCTAGCTAATGACAGCTTGCCATGTGTCATGATGGCCTTAAATTAGGTTTTAACGATTTTTTTTTTTATGAATTCTAAATAATCGAACAAACAATAAACCTAGAAATAGTTTAGGAAATTACAATTCAACTCTTACCCACTAAAACTAAAAATCCTCATAACAATCTTCATCTTTCTCATAAACCAAACAAGTGGTGCAAAAAAAAAAAAAAAAACAAAGAATATCCAAAATTTGAATTATTTCTCTTTTCTTCCACTTTCTTGGGAACCAAACAAAAACACATTAAGTGAACAATAACAACGTAGTGGTTTGTGCATTTCTAGAAAATTTCAAATTTATTTTCCTCTTTCACTAAAAAATGCATTTTCTCGGTAACCAAATGAAAAAAAGAAGTAAGAAAGAAAAAAGAAAAAATATCGGAGTTTCGAAGGAGACACAACACTCATGCTCGTAGATACAATAAGTTGGTTCGGGGATCCGAACCCAATAAAGATTCTATCGAGCAAGTCCAAAGGGTATGTCGTCTTGAAACATTTCTATTTTATTTTTTGAAAAAGATTTTACAAAGAGAGTGAGAGAGTTTTTCTTTAATACACGAAGGAGAGAAAAAGCGAGAGAATTTGTGTTGCAATCTTAACCTTTCCTCTCTCAATCGTCAATGTTGCAATCTTAACTACTTATGTTATCATCTTCATCTCGCTATTTTGTGTCGGCCTATGGACCAATTCCTAATATCCTCTCGCTCGCAGATCTTTCCCACAAGAGTCCGAGGCCTTTGCATTGCCATTTGTGCCATGGTTTATCGGATTTGAGACATCATCATGACTTACACACTACCTATGATGCTTAATTCAATCCACTTAGTCGGTATCTTTGGCATTTATGTTGTTATGTGTGCAATCTCTTGGATCTTTATTTTCTTAAAGGTTCCCGAGATCGAAGGAATGCCTTTTGAAGTCATTATCAAGTTCTTCCCTATAGGAGCAAGACAAGCTCGTCGCTACCAAGAATGAATGATTCCAAACAATATGAACCATCTACTCGAATTTTATTTTTTATTTTTTGCTAAATGTGCAATCTAACTTTTATTTGGAGAATTTTTCAAACTCGTAATTAATTGAGCATGGAAATGTTATAATATTACGCTTATTATTTTTTTCAAAGTTTAGCATAATAAGATGAGAAAAGGCTAATTAAGATGATATATTCTTGATTGTTATGCTTGAATAAGAGAGAGAAGAAAAGTTTTAGTTTTATTGGATAAGAGTAGAATTGTATTTTACTAATCTATTTTTAGGTTTATTATTTGTTTAGTTATTTAAAATTAATTGGAAAATTTTTTATTTTTGTTAAAATTCAATTTGGACTCACCATGACACGTGACAAGCCATTATTGGCTAGAGCTTTCCACGTGTACTTACTCGACACATTAGGGTCCGAAATAATAATGATATAAAAGTAAAACTCTTAAATTTAATAAGAAAAAAAAACTTAGGGTCTTAATCAAAAAAATTCAAATTGTTCAAGCTTTCGATATATGCAAAACCCATATATAAAGGTTTGCATCCCGACATGCCATCTCTTTCCTCTTATTCATAGTCCTTTTAGAGGTTTGATTTTCAACTACAAAAGTTGATTTTTATTTTTTATTTTTCACGTAAAAACACCTCCAAATCATCATAAATACCTCCATAAACTAATTTGCAATCTTAAAATCTAATTTAATTCACTTTTAAACAACAAATCATCAAATGAATTTTCAATTCTTATCGGTATATTAGAGTCTTTTTGTCCACCTTTTATTTTAGCTTTTAGATATCTCTAATAAACTCAAGCTAAGGTATATTAGATGGAGGTTAAAATTGTTTTATATTTTGCATTTCTCCAACCAACTTTTTCTCTACAAGAGTAACAATGCTAGGATTTTTTTTTTTTTTAACATTTGACACTTTATATATAAGGAATGAAGTTAATATTGTTAGATTGAAAAATCAAAACGAAACATGTCAAAACAATGTCATTTTGCATCGTTCATTGCCCTATCCATTTAAGTACATGTAACACATTAAAATATATTGTTAAAACTCTAATTGTAAGGTGCAAGAACTAATTAGGTATCGAAATCTTTTGAGTTTTGACAATGTTATCCGGATTGATCCTACGGGATGAGCACGAGGCATGTTGAAGATAGAGATTGTTAATCTCATGTTTTGATTTCTCATCCTCAATACTTCCATTTCTTAATCACGAATGGTACCGGTAACAATTAGTACTCGATCGTAGTTTATACTTGCCTTTAAGCTATAAAGAGAAAAGACTTTTGAAAGAACATGCTTCGAATTAAAAGAATTATCCCTTTGACTTGAGTTTCATTTGGTGATTTCAATTACTATGTTAACCAACTAGATAAATGGAGAGCGAAGTCGTTGTTTAAGTAGAGGCCAAAAGTTCTTTTAGAAGATATGAATTGGTTGATTTAGGATTCAAAAGCACTTTTTAATTTTTTTTCGAAAGATATATAGGGCTTTTTCCATTTTGGTTCAATTAAATCGATCTTTTTATAACACAAAGTGGCAAATTCTTTTTTCTAGAGGCTTTTATCCACTAGCTTCTTCGTATTCATTGAGATAATATAAACTCGTCTTCCTTTGAATGATTGGCTACATTCTCCCTTTATCTTTTAGGCCATTTCACTTCAATGACACATTGATGCTTCATAAGGACTTTGATATTATTGTTAGAGAACCTTGGGTAAGTCCTAATTTTTTAATAATTGATTGTTTTGCTAGTATGATTGCTACTCCATAAAAGTTTAGCAAAGAAGTTCTTAGAAATATTTTTCTTGAAAAAACTTATGTTTTTTACTCGAATTGATGGAATTCGGAGATCTTTCGCTATTCGATATTATGATTTTCTTATGGAGCTAGAGACAACTTTATTACAAGATTATCAAAATATCCTTCGTAGGGGAGTTTATTGTGATAGCTAGACACATATTATCTCAATTGTTTGAATAAATTCAATCTCTTTTTTAGGTAATAAAAATGGGATAACAATAAAATATGAACAAGAGTAAGCACATAAGACATTAAGAATTTTTACGTGAAAAACTCCTCCGAATGAAGGAAAAAAACCACAAGATCGTAGTCTACTAAAAAACTTCCACTCGTATTAAATAATGAAATTACAAATAAGATCTCACTAATATGATGACTTTCCTATGATCGACTCTAATAACTAAGTAGAGCACTATAAAAAGGTTAATATTCTAAAATTTCATCTCGGTCGAGCTTAAGATCATCATCCGATTGAGGATTGCAAGATGAGCGACTCACGCTTAAAACTCTCTGATTTTTCTTGACCTCTTCTTATATTTGCTTTCACTTTTCTCTCTTTTCTTACACTCTCTGCAATACCTTTTTCACTCTTTCACTTTGTCAAAACAAATGAAATGGCTAAGGCTATTCATAGACATTTGCTAGTGTGTGAATGAAAATTTTATTTTTCAATAAAAAACTCGCATGGCCCATAGCTAGAGTTTTCGACATTGGTTGTGTTGGTGTAGGTGTCCAAGATCCAACCATGCTTGGATTGGTTTGAATTATTGTATTATTACATCATTTATTTTATTAATATTAAAAAAAGTTATTTTATTAATTCTTATGTCTTATATTGAGTAGAATAAGATAAAAGTCCTTATAATATGCATTTGCATTAGTGATTGATCGAAAGATGCGAGACAAACACTAATACACATAAATAATATCATTAAATGTCCCAAGTCGTGGCATTGACTATACATGGTTAGACTTGTGAGTGCTGTACTCGTGCTATATAATAGCAATAGAAGATCTCACACTTATTATCATGATGATGTCAAAACGAGAACTTAAGTGATTTATGTTAGAGAACATATCGCTAGACTCGACTCGTTATGAGAACCCATTTGGTTTAATGTATGGGAATCTCAATATGAAATGAGTATAACTAATCCTTAGACTTGAAGTCATTATGGTTATCTCATTTGAGGATTTATGTACTTTGACAATCGTTTGATGGACCTAGTAAGGGGTTGCATATGGGCAATTTTTTAGATGCACTAGGAATCTAATGAAGGTAGGTGGATGATTAAGATATGACATGTCATTCCTTATATGCTAAAGAAGTTCTCATATTATACTTTGATGAATGTCTACTCAAAAAATCTATAACCATAGTAGAAGTAAACCAATAGAGCATAGTTGGTTTACTATAAGAGTTAAGACATTTAGGAATCAAATAAAACTCGTGTGATCACAATCGAATAAAACTAATAACCAAGTTCGAGATTACATTATGATAAGTTGACATGATGACTGAATTGTATGATAACCATGCTCGTGAAAGGTAATTACGAATTAATTAGTCCTTCTAAAAAATTAGGTAGTCATAATGCCTTATTAAATGTCAATCTTGATTTATGTATCAAGAGATAAATGAGGTGTCTTTTATTTTTAATACATTGCCAATATATCTAGGAGCCTATTAAGTCACACATATAAATTTATCCATTAACATAATAAAAGAGAAGAAAAGATGTTGGAAAAAGTTTATAATTTGAAAATTTTCTATTTTGGAGAAATTTTCGAAAATGAAAAGTTTCCTAAAATGGAAGTTTCCTAAAATGAAAATTTTCTTATTTTAGAAATCAATTTCCTAATTTGGAAGTTAGTTCTAAATTTGGAAGTTAAAAATCTAAAGGGAAATTAGTTTTCTAACTTAGGTTTAAGGGTATTTTGAAAAATTATTTTCTAATGTAGGCCATCTAAAATTATCTAATTTAATTTATTTAGATAGTCTAAATTAATTGGGCCAAAGTAGTATGGGTCAATATGTTTAATTAAAAACCTAAAAGATATTTAGATGGGAGGATAAACATGAACCTTATTAGATAAAGATGAATGTTTCAAAGGATAAAATCAAAAAGCCCATACGCACAATAACTCCTAATCATTAAAGAATTTGGAAACAACAACTAAGAGTCATTTTTAGGATTAGTTATCACCCCTCTTTGTCCTTAGAGAGAAAGAAAAAACTCTTCCCTTATAAATAGGAGGAGAGGTGTGGCATGAAGGGTAATTAATAGAGAGAGACATACGGCTAAGAGAAAAAAATATTTAAGGCTACATGACATTAAGAAAAATAAGGAGAAAATAGTTTTCTCCCTTCCCTAAAAATTATGCCACCTCTCCCCTTCTCTTAAGGTTATCGCACAATTTCCCCGATTTTATTTCTAAAGTAAAATACTAAACAAAGTCGGAAAAGATAGAGCTAGCACTCTACCAATTTTGAGTGCTTTTTGTGTGAAACTTAAACTCGCGTGGATTATCAATAGAGGACGGACGTTTGGACGGCTCCTTTTTCCGTTAAAGAATTTAAATATATGCTACAAGAGGTAATTCTTTATTTAATGATTTAATTCATGAATATATGGTTAGTTGATTCAATGATATAATTTTGGGCCCTTTAAGTGGTTAGTTGATTCAATGACATAATCTTGGGCCCTTTAAGTGGATAAATTTTTTTATTTTATTTTACACTTCTATAGGTGCATGATCATTCAGGTTGTATATATATTTAAGAAACATTAATCTGTATTTTTTCAATAAATGTTACACCATCTTTCTATTAATTCAAAGACGGTGGGTCCCACTCAAATGGGTGAAGCCTAATAATTCTCCCATCGCACCCATATAAGAGGCTCTACCATATCGGATTTCTTTCTATAGAGACTAAGATTCTAGGTAGGTAAATTTTTGATCATCATATCTAGTCTATTATCACCACTATGAATTTTTTCAAGCCAAAATATTTTTCTCTCCAAAGCATCATGAATCTAATGATGCCTCATATCAATGTGTTTGAATCTTAAATAAAATGTTGGATTCTTATTGAGATAGATTGCACTCATGCTTGTCATAAAAAAAAAAAAAGCTTTTTTTTTTCCTAAGCCCAATTTTTGTAGGAACTTTTT